TTTTCTTCTCTAAAATTGTCTCCTTTCACCTCCTTTCCTGCTCTCTAGCAATGTTCTGTTGTCAGCTTTCATTTTCACTTTCCTCCCCCCACCCCCTCACCTCCTTTGCCCCCTCCTCTGGGCTCCTGACTCTTTCTGCAACCTTTCTACTGCTACTCCTTGGCTCCTCCTTACTGCTGTCTTTCTGCCACACCCCTGATGTTTTGGTAGGAAAGATCTACACCTAGCCTTCTCGAACAATGGCGAAAAATCTCAGAGGGCCTGTGTGCAAGTTGCGCACATTAAAGATCCCTTGGTGGTCTAAAATCGATAAGAGTAGGCTTCGGCCGCAACCCAGGCAAAATTAAAAAATTTCCCACCAACTGAAATATTAGGTGTGTCCCGCGCGCTCATATGACCTTATGCAGTTGCGAGTGCCGTAACACACTTAACAAAAACAAAAACAAACAAAATAAGTATTTCTTATGACCTTTAAAGCTTGAGCAATCAGAATATTATTGGAATACTATCAGAATGCTGATTATAATAGATTTAGCTTATACATTCCTATTGATAACTGCTGTTTATTTATGTCATATGTGTGTGACTCTGGATTTGCTTTCGGGTAAGCATATACTATGTGTGTTTGTGTGTGTGTGTGTGGAAGAGAGGGTGTGTGAGAGAGTATGTGTGTATTCGTGTGAGTATGGGTGTGTGTGTTTATGTGTGTGTGTGTGCGTATGTGTGTGCGTATGTGTATGTGTGTGACTGAGTGTGTTTATGTGTGTGTGTGGATGTGTGTGTGGTGAAGCACCACACCAATGTGTCAGTGTCTGGACAGGAAAGATTTATCTTATCTTCTCTCATCTTGTCTCTGTTTTTGTTTCCAGGTACCTTGTCTGTGACATACTTGTCTATATTTGTTGCTGTGAAGGCTGGGGAGTGGGGAATTCACCTGGATTTGAACTCAGACCACTCGGCTGCCTACAATTATGCCCCAGGTAAAATAAAAATTGTCTGGACAATATGCAACCCGATTGCTGTTTTGTACTGTCATTAGTTTCCAACTTTTAAATTTTTGTCACAGCTGTCAAGGCTGTTGAAAAATCTTTCCTTTGAGTCCAAAATTATTACTGTCAATTCCTGTGTGTTGAATTTTAGTTTCATTTTGTACTACTTTCTCCCGTTTTCTTGACTGGGATTCAGTGCTTTCAAAGTTCTCTGTGGGTGGTTGGTGGGTGCTCTGGTGTGGTTTGCTCCTTCTTTCCTATCAAACATCTATCGTCTTTATCTCCCCTTGTTCTTTTTTATGTTTGTTACTCTCTTGTAACACCTCTAATCTTCTGGCGCTCATATGACCTTATGCAGTTGCAAGCGCCGTAATACTTCTACTAAAACTAAACTAAAAGTTCTCTACACGAAAAAAATAAAAAATGGAATTTGTGCAAGTAGCACTGAACTTGCGAATAGCCGGCATGTGCTGTGGTCGGGTTTTCTTCTCCTTCTCAGTCTTCATCGTTGGATTTGTTGTAATATTCTTGGTAAAAGTAAACCTGAACCCTTCCTTTTGCTTATATTATGTGTCCTACTAAGCACATTCAGGGTCTCTTCTCTCTTAGGGGTAATGTTTAGGTCAACATGACATCATGCGGGAAAGAGACACTTTTGACTTATTTTTAGAACTGGGGGTCAAAACTTATTTGAACCATACACTTTTTGTCTCTAGAGTGATCTCGTTATATCAAGGTGGCTTTAGAATATTGACTATCTTCTTGTGGGTTCTCTACACGAAAAAAAAAAAGAAGGAATTTGTGCAAGTAACACTGAGCTTGCGAATAGCCGGCAAGTGCACTGAAACAGCAGAGGGAAAGTAAAGAAGTAGGGCAACACTAGTAGGGCACACTTTTTTTTGGTCCTTATATTGTTTCTGTTTATCTGTCTTGTTTTTTTTTCTCCCTCGCACTACATGGCCATTATTGTGTTGATGTGGTTTTCTTTACTCAAACAAATATGTCTTTGCTCTTGCATTTTGTTTTTTTTAGTGCAAAAGAACAAGCAATATGCTTCATGTTTTTCTTTAAAATTTCAACGTATACTGTACTCGCTGAATAGTATTATTTTCTGGCATTCTCTCCTCAAATATCGCAGCCTTTGAGTGGTCATTCCCGGCTCTTACTGGCATTGCGGCCTTGGCCTACTTCTTGCAAAACTGTGTCATGGCGATCTGCAGAAACCAAAAGCATCCCGAAAACAATGTGAGTGGATTTTAGAAATATTTATTTTTATGTCTGTGAGTTCTCTTTTATTCAATGCGCCTACACTGTGTATGGTAGGGCAATGAGCCTTTAGACCATGACTTCAAATCTGTAAATACTGGCTATGTCAGGGGTCTTTGAGTCCACATTATGACCCTTCCTTTCTGTAAAAGTGAAGGGCACAAGGGGAAAAACCAAAGATGTCAGGTTTTGGCTAATTTGAGTCGTGATGTGGGTTGGAACGTGTTTATGCCCCTCTTCTGGCCCATTTAAATGTCTAGGGCTGAAGCCTGTAGTATGTAGTATAGGGTTTTACGGCGCTCGCAACTGCTAAGGTAATATGAGCGCAAGCTGAAGCCTGATGAGCTGCCTGATATCAGGCTTTGAAAATAAGCTGTAGTATGAAAATATGTGAGCTGTCAAGCATTTCATTTGTGTTTGTCTCAAAAGGCCAAAAAGTGACATCCCTTGTTTTTCCCTTGTGCCCTTCAGAAATATTTTTTTACACAGACGCAATCTTTACAACACTACACCATCTTTTAAAGTGATATATAAATTGATAAGGTTTTAGTGAGGAGCTCTCTGTAGTTACATATATGAGATTACGGGAGTAGATGAGTAACGAATCTTGCTGACCTTTTGTTGAAGAAACTATGAAGTAATCACCTTGTATTCATGTATTGTGTTCAAAAAGTTTTGATCGATGCATATAAGAAAGAATTCTTGATTTGTTCCAGAACCTTTTGTATTTTTGTTTTGATTTATGTTCGCTGCTTTTGTATTTTCATTCTCTTAATTTTTTTACTTTTACCAAATGGTACTCTGTAGGATTTCAACCATTCTTGATTTGTTTTCCAAGAGGACAAGTACACTGGCTGGCAAGACTTTCAGTGCCCCCCACTTTTTTGTCATATCAATGCTTTCTTGTGGTACCTTTTCGTTTTGCATTGTTCGCTTTTTTTCCATTTTTTTTTCTTGATCTTGCTAAACTTTGATGACTCCAGACCAAAGCAAGAAAACAGTTCAGAGCTGTCATCATTTTCCCCATTGATCCTGTTGCTACGCTTTTACAGTTCACATCTGGCAACCTTTTTGTCTTTCAGCATTCTCTCCATCCCCTGAACTACCTGTAATTTTATGTCCCAATATTTTCAAGATAACTTGTTTGAGCTGGTATTATGAGAAGCTTCAGTACCATCTTATTTTTATGCTATTGTTGCTATTTCCCTGTTTAAATCCACCCATCTTTTCTGGGGTATATTTTGAGATGGCTTGCTGAAGCAAGCTTCTTGAAACACTCCTGTGTTTTATGATCATATCAATATCAGCATTACCTGAACAAAATTATGTCGGTGAAAATTTTTTGCAGTTTATTTTTACTCATTTAGACACATAACTGTGTAATTAACAATAAATGATTTCATTGTTGCAGTTTTGTAACATATATTTATACCTTGAGTATCCTACTGTCATCATACATTTATGATTCCACCTCTGTTGCTGTTCTTGTTTTTGGTTTTGCATTGTTTTCATTTCCTCTACTTTCTTTTCTTGATCTTACAAAATTTTAATGACTTAAGACCCAAGACAAGAAAAGAGCTGAGAACTGTTGTCATCTTCCCCATTGATCTTGTTTTTAAGTTTTCCACGCCTGGCAGCTTTTCTTCTTTCCTTTTTCTGTCTCTGCTCATGAACCCAGTGATTTCTTGTGAAGATTTGCTTTTTACATGGCTTTCCACCCAGTGCAACAGAACTAATTAGAACAATGAAATCATTAATTGCTTATTACACAGTTATTTGTCTAATGATATGGTCAATTGCCTTAAAACTCTTACTAAAAGTAAACCAAGAACTAATTGAATATGATCATCTGATTAGTATACCAAACTGCATTATTTCTTTTGCTCCTTCCTTCATTATCAGTGTTTGAAGTGTTTTAATTAGGTTTTTCTGTGATTATTTCTTGCTGAATACACTAAAAAGGGGAAACCCGCTCAAATGGTACCACCCTCTTTTTGTATTTCAATTTATCCACCCATGGTCAAAACGTTAAAGTAGAATACTACTGATAGATCTGTGTGAGACATAAGTCATAAACACAGTTTATTATCTCACATCTCTATTACTTTTTTGTGCCTTTTTTTTCCTGATGCCAACTGAGAGTACATATGACTATGTGATTTTCGAGAGTTTACATGAACTCAAGACATTCATACTTATTCTTTGACAGGTTCTGTTATTGTACAGGCTTAATAATGTCTTGTGGTTAAAAAGCAATGAACCTTGTGAAATTTTTCTTTGAAAAAAAAAATGAAAGTATTTGTCAGTATTTTTTTATATCTTGGTCAATATTGTTACTCTTAATGGACAAACTGGAAGCCAGATGAAAGGAAAAAGCAGAATGTAAATAAACATTCATACTGCAGTGCAATTAAGACCTGTCATGAGGACTGTGCCCAATAGAAAATTAATATATATATGTTTAAAATCTCTCAGTACGTATTGAGGACAGCTAATTAATAACAATATAAGCTAAGAAAAACATTTACAGTGGGAAACCCATTTATCACTGTACCGTATCTTTCCGTCAAAGTTATCAAAAAAGTTTAAAAAAATATAATTCGTATATAAGGAGTTAAATAGCAATCATATAAATGATTCAAATTATGTCTCTGATTAGAGACAATGAATACTAAAACGGATCTAAGATTTTATAGTAAAGTGACCTAAAAAAAAAAAAATCAATCATCCATCTTGCTGTTGTTTTGCCAGAAATAGATGATAGAAAAGATGCCTCTGTTTTTTTTCTCAGACTCGGGATCTGATTATTGCTTATGTGCTGGTGTGTCTGACCTACACATACATGGGAGCTGTGTTTTTTGCTGCTTATCCTATGGCCAAGTCGTGCATTGAGGATGTGAGTTGGCTCCTCCTCCTGCTCCTCCTCCTCCTCTTCCTCTTTTTCTTCTTCTTTTTTTTGGTCATCCTCTTTCTCCCCTACCTCCTCCTCCTACTTCTCCTCTTCTTCTCTTTCTTGTCATCCTTTTTCTACCCCCCCATTCCCCCTCCTCCTCCTCCTTCTTTATCGTGTGTTCTATTTCTTCTCCATCTTTTACATTACCTCACTAGACCATCAGATTGACATTGACTGTGTTTTATATTTGGTACAGGACCATTTTTACCCACTGTTGTATAGAAGGGCAGGATGTTTACACTTGTTAGGTTTTCTGATTTGGATTTCTTCAATTTTGAGTAGGGTTAGCCTAGAAGTTTGACTCAGAAGCAGGTCTTTGATTTTCACCTACCAAGATGTGCACACCATGCAAATGGGACTTCTGATATTTTATCCTTTTCTTGGGAGAAAAAGTACCTTGTCCCACCTATTCTAGGATATATATATATATCCCTTATCCTAGAAGAAATCTGTAGCATAAAAATATTTCAGCTATCTACCAAAACCAACAGTATCTGCATGGACTGTTAATCTAACCAGGCACCTGTGCTTAAGAAGTAAAAGTGAATGTTGAGTGAGGTAAAGATGGTTATGAGCAAGACTGAATTGTGATTGAGCAAAAGTGAATTGTGAACAAGGCAAAAGAAAACTGTCAGTTAGGCAAAGGTGAATTGGGTTTCAAGCAAAATGGAAATGCTGGTCTGAAAGAATACTGCCTTTGGGATTCTGAAATCCCAGATAGTGGTTGTAATACTGTTAGTTTTGAACGGGTCTGGCTTGTAGAGAGTCAGTGTTCAGTCTTGAGGGGGCAAGGACATTTTTAAAAATATTTATTTTCTTTTATACTCTTGTGTGTCACCTGGGGACCAGATGCCATGTCTTTGATTGTGGTGTTCTGTATTAAATACCTTGTAAATCCCAAGCAGAAAATACTAACGGGTAGTTGGGTGGACACCACAGTTATTTTGTTTTATTTTTACTTTCTCTTTATTGGTTCTGTCTGTCTTACTTTTCCCTGCTCTAAAGCATCATTATTGGTTGATGTGCTTCTCTTCACTCACACAAAACAAAAAAAGAGTAAAGAGATTTTGTTGTCGGTTCTTTTCAGAATTTCCTGAACAACATGGCGTCCACTGATGTGATGGCGTTCGTGGCTCGTATGGGACTGTTCTTCCAGATGATGTGTGTGCTCCCGCTACTCACATACGTTTTCCGAGCCCAGCTGTTGCATTTCCTGTTCCGTTCGGTTTGGCCGAGGTAAGGCAAACTGTTTTTTGTTGGGTTTTTTTTCACTCTCGCTGACCGTAACTTTAGAGTGGGTGTTTGGTGTGTACTTTGTGGGGGTCTCCGATCCTTTTGTCAGTTTTTGATTATGCCCAGTGGATTAGCCTATTGCAGCTTCTGTTCTTAGACTAGTATTCTAGTATGTTCCTTTACCCGTCTGCTGGGACATTTCAGTAACCCACTTTCAGCACTTTTTAAGGACCCCCGGGCGAGTGTTGAGTTCCTGCGTGCTGTCGGCATCGCTGACCGTTTATGAAGCCACAGCGCCAGAAGAGAGAGAGAGAGAGAGTATGTTCCTTTTTAAATATGTCTATTGTCATGCTGATTTGCTGTAAAACACACCTGAACTTGTTTCGATTGAGCGATTAAAAGTGTACCTTTATGTTACTTGTTCTTTACAATTGCCCACGCTCACACTCAACTACACAAACACATATACAAATCCCTCACCCGTGCACGTACACAATTTTTCTCTTTCTCTCTCTATGTCTCTTTATGTGTCTCTCTCTTTCTCTCTCTCTCTCAAACACACACTCACACACACACACACAACACATACACACACACACACACAACACATACACACACACTCACGCCTGCACGCACGCACGCACACACACACATTCACACACACACACACACACACACACACAAACACAGACACAAACACAAGAGTGTGTAACTTTGTGTTATGCCATCTATGTCCTCAGTGTGAAGCATGTTCTGGTACTAAATCTCCTAATAGTGGGCGTCTGTGTGATTTTTGCTGTGTTTATGCCAAAAATTGGACACATCATCAGGTGAGTGGATTATTTTGCACCAACCTGCCGATGCCAATATCCTTTTTACATATATTTTTGTATCTTTAATTGATAAGAAAGATAGTACTTTTAACAATGGTGGCCTGAAGGATGATAACAATAATAATAATTGTAATAATAATAATGATAACATTTTAATAGGCCTAATAACAGCAAGAATTAAACAATAATAATAATTATAGCAATAACAATAGTAATAATAATAATAATAATAGTAATAGTGATAATAATAATAGTAATAATAATGATGATGATGATGATAATAAAGCATGAAGAGATGACAGGCAGACTTGAAGTAAGAAAGAAGGAGAACCTTTTTAAGGATGCCCTACGTCGAGAGAGAATGTCAAGCAATGCTGGTCATGGTTGCTTAAGATAGATGGTCTCTCAGGTATATCTTTAATCCAATCCTTGCTAACCGCAGCTTTAGAGTTCACCACAAGATGCTCAGGACTGAACGTCCCAATAAGAGTTACTCATGGTGCATTAGTATGGAGTCGGCAATGTGCATTGTTGCGTTGGTGAGGAACGGTGCATGCCGCTTTGGAAGGCAAAACCAAGGTTTGGGTTAAGACACACAAAACTGATTTCAAGTGAAAAATAAGGCATTGCAGGGTGGTGATCAGCAATGATTTACCACTATTTGAAATTGCCTTGATGTCATCATTTAAAAAGTTATTTAGTGGAGGTCCTTTCCCATGACTCTTGATATATATGTATGTGTACTTATGTTTTTAGTTACTCACGTTTCAACTTAATTGTGACCGTTCGTGAATTTTTATTGCATTGTATATTTTTATGAACACATTTTCAACCTCACTGCGAGACTATTTTTCTCATATAAAATTTTACACATATGCATTTATATTATATGTATAATACGTTGTTTTACGTACGCACTTGTCGATTAATTTTTAAGATGTGATGTCTTTTTCATTGTAATGCGCATTGAGCATCTTTTAGAAAATGGAAATGCGCAGTATAAATTCTATTTATTACTTTTTGCTTTAAAAAACCCAAAAAACTTTTCTTTTTGTGTTTTGTAGTGTCCAGCCTAGCCTCTTCCTTTCACATCTGGTTTTACAAAGCTGAAGTTTTGCTGTGGGTGTGCTCCATGAAAGTTACTGATGCTGGGTCTGGGGGTTTTTTTTTTCAACATAGAAAAGGAACCCAATGATTTTTTTCAAAGCGACTTTCTGTTGTCTATAACTGTTTTGGGGGATTTTTTAAAATGGTACTTTTCATTGTTTTCTTTTTCAGCTTTGTTGGAGCTTTCTGCGGATTTTCGTATGCGATCGCTTTTCCTTGCACTGTGTACCTTGTTGCTTGTTACCGAGATGGCTCCCTGACTGTACCCAAGCTTGTTTTCCACGGAGCACTCATTGCTCTTGGTCTTGCCAATTTTGTCGCCCAGTTCGTTATCATCGGACACACATCTTAGTGATTTAAAAGATGCTCGCAGCTTTGCTGTTGGTTGCTGTGGAGATTATAATAAGCTCTGCAAGTTCTGCAAAAATATTCGTTAATGTCCGAGCTGTCTATTTTATTGTACTTTGTCATGTTCAAGATTCTCACTTTGATATTAGGTCTTCATATGACCACAGGTTAAGGTTTTAGTTTACTGTTTCACATGCAAATAGTATTTGAGGCTGTTAGCGAAAGTAGGCAGTTTGTTAATGACCCATTTTTATCGTCATAATTGTAGACGTACAGACAGGGTTTTCAGGGGCGAAGGCTGACTTGTTTGACAGGGTAATCAAAGTGAGACTGGACCAGATAGGGCCTGGAGATATCACACAAGAATCTTACTGGAGGCAGCAACACGAGTTGTGAATGAAAGCAAATCCTGAATTCATGTTGTATGTTCAACCGCCGAAATAATCGGGGAAGTACATGTATTTCACTAAATATTTATTCCAACTAACATTAAATTTAACTTTAGATGTGAATACACAAACACAAAGGAAAGAAGCAGAGATGTCAGTACTAGATCTATATGTTATAGATATACCAGTGAGTCAAACTCTTTGGTAGAACATGACAAATATTATTTTTTAATTTCACATTTGTTTGCTTTTGTCTAGCTTTTCGCGGCCAGGAGCCGGTGTCAGAATCGAGGTCATGATCTGATTACGGTAAGATAAAAAGTCGAGGAAAAAAATCAAGCACTCGCAGCAGTTAAGATATTATTAGGAGTTAGTTCCCCTCACATTTGTGAGGTAGACTCGACCAGTAGTAATAGTCAGCTTACATACACATAATCAGTGCTTGTGACTGCTTATAACTGGGGCCTGAAAGGGGTGAACAGGGTATATGTGGCAATGAAACAGTTTTGAGTGCTGTGTACATGTTCCCTCCAACTCTTTGGGTAGAATCTTCTGGCTTCACTTTAAGCTTACTTAATTAAAGCTTGCGACTGCTTCTGGAGTGGCCCGATAGTGGTGAACAGGCTATTTCTGAGGCAATGAAACCGTTTTGAATGTTAGGGATACTGTTCATTGTTGATTATGAACGTCTTTTTACATTAAACTTATGAGGTTTACGTCTATGGGTGAATTTGACTGTGACAATGTTTCAAAATTAGGAAGGGAAGCAGTGATTATTTGATTATAAAAATATAAATGCTTCGCCACTGGGGTTTCTACTTCAACTGGAGATTTTGTATTTACTCTTTTTATCCTAGAATTGACTGTTTACTTTTGCTCTCAGGCTTTAAGAAAATGACAGTGTTTGATATGCTTGGTGTTTATTTTTCTGACAATGAATTTTTAATAAATGGTTAGTTTGCTTTGAACTAACATTCATTTATTTTTTACTTTCATTTTTACACATTGCCATGATAAGTTGTGTAGCATCCTGTCGAGAATGCCTTGTTTGGCAGAGATTGAATTGAAAATTTATGTATTAGTTTTTCAGAAGGAAGCTTATAACAATTGCCTTTTTAGTTTCAGTTTCAGATGTAGATGTTAGAGTTTAAATTCTGAGACCTAAACTTCATTTTCAATATATAACCTTTTTTAAAACAAAATTATTATTTAGAGGAGGTCCTTTTCCATGACTCTTGAATATGTATGTGTACTTATGACTTTTTGCTGAGAAAAAATATTTCCTTTGGTGTTTTCTGGTGTCCAACCCAGTCTCTTCCTTTCACGTCTGTTTTTGCTTTCATGTTCCTTGATGTGAGAACTTTGTATTTGTAAATAAATTTGTAAATACATTTTTTAATATTATACTGTATAATAAGTGATTTGAATGCAACGGACGTTCTTGAATCTTCAAGTTTGATTAGAGTATTGCCATCATCTAAATATGGTTGAGGTTTTGATACTGTTTATATAACTGTTTTCATTGGGATTACGAGTTATTTCACAGTTCTAGACATCTAAAAATTCACATTGTGTTGAAAAGGGTGTAAAACTGAATTCAAATGATACCATCGAACAGTAGATTGTCAGTTTCAAGAGAGATTCTTTTGTTGAAGAAATTCAAATTGACACATTTGATATTGTACATTCACAAAAATATAGGGGAGACTTTGGAGTTGTTTGGGCTGTGTGTTTCTTGTGAACAGGGATAAGATAAATTCAAAAGAAGGGTATTTTGACCTCAGAAATCATCTGTGAAAGCTACTGAGCTAGATTTCCAACATTTCTACTTTATCATTTGGAGATTTGTTGATTATGAAGTTAACACAATTTGATAATTTTACTGGCTTTGAAATGAGTTTGACATTTTTTTTTACACCTGAAGGACTAAAAAGAAAGATTCAGTTTTCAGTTGAATGTAGACAATAAACTGTGCTCAAACAATGAAGTTTGGCAGAAACTGAGTTAGTTGATGTGCAATTCCAGCTTAATTAGTGCAATGACAGTTCAAGATCTGCATTCTGAATGTGATACCCAAATGGCAATACCCCACATTGTGCACCCCCCCCCCCCACCTCAAAATGCCTCCACAACTTGTTTTTGTGTTCTTGAAATATTTTCAACTCTCCGTCGTTACTCTTTTCAAATATTCTCATTTACTGACTGCCATGGTGCAGTAGGCGGTGAACTCAGTCTGTCTTGGGGATATATCCAAAGTTCGAATCCAGATGGGATTCAAAATATTTTTTTTAGTTCCTCGTTTCATCTATGTCTGATGTTCTGACATAGGAGCCAGGTGCTTCACCCTCAGAAATTGTAAGGAGAAGGTAACACCTCAAGAACTTGCTTTTTCTGCGTCTTGCTCGCTCTCCATTCTTGATACTTTAATTACCACACTTGTCTCACTTTCACGAGCACGTTTGGTGAGTGCTGTTCTCTTTAGGTCTCGTCTCCTTTTCTTCCTTTTGTTCTTTGTTATTTAGCTAGTCTTTTCTGACAAGATGTTGCCTCCGTCATGATAACCTTCCATTTACTCCACGCACACGCATGCGGCAATTTGTCTCGATGTTGAAAAAGACGATCTTGAATTTTTATTTCTCCCCGTGATGTTGAAGAATATTTTTATTTCAACTGCTTACCACATGAATGAGTATCTGTTGTTTCTATTTTAATGTGTTTGTCACTGATTTGTAACATGATTTGACTGGTTTTTAAACTGTGTCATAAACCTATGTGAGGCATCGTGGTGAAATCAAGTGCTTGTCAAAATTATTAATTAGAAGAAAACAGCATTTTTCTCCGGTTGGGTAATTTTTATCTAATTGTTTATTTTTGGCTCAACACCTTTTGTGTCCACGCAATTTAAAAACACACTTCTGTGTGGATTTCAGTAAAGAAAATGTTGATCAAAGGCACAGAAAATGTAAATTTTCAGTTTCCAAGGACTCTCAAGCTAAGGAAATTACCAAGCTTTGGTTGCCACTTTCTTGCTAATTTTACGCTTGTAACAAGGCGATCCCACCTTCTTCAATCGAAAATATTTTGACAAAATAAATAGGCATTAAAAAATTTTTTTAAGCAAGACAAATGAACCTGCTTATAGATGATATCAATATCTCCACAGGCCCAAAAATTGATGAGCGCTTGATTCCACCATGTCGTGACACATTTGATGTTTGCTTATTGAATGAATGGAGTCATGAATGCGACTGCTGAAGTGGCAGTGATACCCTCTTTGCTGTGCTTGGTCAACCAAATCAGCTCTGTTTTTATTCCCCTTCTCTCTCTCTCTCTCTCTCTCTTTCTCTCTCTCTCTCTCTCTCTCACAAACTCACAGACACACACAGACACTCACACACACAGACACTCACACACACAGACACACACAAACGCACACACACACACACACACACACACACACACACACACACACACACACACACAGGTATATTTATGTCAACTCAGACATGAGCAGATGGCAAATTTAAAAAGTGTTAGTCTGTTTTATGCTTTGACTTGAACATATTCTTTATGTGTATATATTTCATTGTCTGCACTACATTCCCAGGCCATTTTAAATCAAAATGCTTTTGTTTTAATTTTTTCATACTTTGCTTATTTGATATATTCTAAAGGACTGTCTAAATAGTTTATGGAAAGATAAATAGGAGTGAAGAAAACAAAATGTCCGTATTGTGTTTTCAACAAACTTTAAGCCCCCCCCCCTCAGAAACGAGAAGAAAAGGATGCATTTTACAAAATCCAGCCTTTTTTCTTGAACTTTTTTTTTTTTCATGTTATTTGAACCTTTTTACAATGAAGGAGAACTATGTTAGCTGTTTACCATGTGTAATTTGGATATGTTTAAAGCTGTACAGATTCTTCAAGTTTTTATTTACAATTTTCAGACTGAGCTTTAATTTTTTAAGTTGCACTGCATGCTCTTCCAAGTTAGTGGTATTTTCTTCTTCTTTTCTTTGCTTGATTCACAGAACAATCTGTGAAGTGTTTATGAAAACCTCTTGTTTCGAGCACAGAGCCCTGTGTTAGTAGGACCTAGTACTCATTGTGCAATGTTTTTTGTTTGAAAAAATAAAATGACACCTGAAAAGAATGGACAACTCATTTATTGTTGATCATTACATATGTACATTAGTAAAATATTTGAACTTTATGGCATTGGTTAGAAGAGGGGAAATAAATATGCTTGGACAGACAGGGAAAAAGGAAGGGAAAACAAATTTGGTAATTCACAATTTTTGTGAATGAGAATACGTTATTTATCTTTTAGATTTTTTTTACAAAATGAAAGGCATGTATTATGTATCAAAGACATAATCCTTTAAGATTTTCTAAAGTAAATCATTATCTTAAAGCACAAACTGAAAGGACATATCATATTTCATGCATAGTGATGCTTTTTTTCTTGGCATAAGTCCGTGTTTACTCTTCTGAAATGGAGAAAAAAATGTCTTTACAAACTCTGTCTATAGTAGCTGTTTGAATTCTTCTTCGGACACCCTGCTTTTAACTTGAAAGGGATGGGCTTATGAAAGAATGGAGAATGAAGTATCAAATATCTATACCTTGTCTTCATATACTCTCTGAAATAGAAAATGCAACTTGATGGTTCCCTGCATAAGCAAATTCTTGGAAGATATAACAGTTCTCAATAAGCTGCAGCAAACACGACCGGCTTTGTAAGAAGGAAAGGTAACGAAAGCATTAATCGAGTATAGAAAATAACTGCTGTCATTTTCCTTCATCATGAAAGGCTCAGCATAAAATTTATGACATTATAGCTGCTTTGTGCAGAGCATGTGCCTCCCTTACTGTCTTTCCTTAGTCAGCAATGATGACATGTCATATTCCAATATTTCTTGTGAATATGAAAAGTGTCCCAATCAATGAATTTTTGTTGACTCAACAGTAATTATTTTGCTTGGACATGAAGCCCCCGAAAAAGACAACCTTATTGTTGCTGGGATTTACTGAAGTAGATGTAGTGCTTCAAGATCATGTTCAAGTGGAAGGTTTTCTTGCTCATTTTTTTCGTTGATGTACATTCAGCTGATATGTCAAAGAAAAGGAAAGAAATACAAAGCTGTATAAACTGATTGAAAATTAAAAAGAAATGACAGATAGATAGATCACTATACTGTCACTTTTTTTTTACTGTTTTTCCTTCATCAAATATTTAAACATTCTTTACTGCCTGAAACGTGGTTACTATTTCTTTTGCTTCACTCCGAACATTTCCAAAAATATACTCCTTGGGAGCCTTTGCTTCTTTATGAATGGAATATTACAGATCTTAGTGGTCAACATGACCTCAAGTAAAGAGAAAAAATAATTCTTATGTTGAAGATGAAGGTTGAGGCTAGTCTGCCATAGTCTAGTCCCACAGCTCTCCAGGATTGCACATCTAGGAGAGAGGGTACATGCAACTACATAAAAGGCAGATCTCAGCAAGTTTAATTGGAATATTTCAGCGGCGTTACAGGGATCTAAATCGTTGGCAAAATTACTGGAAATTTTGCTTTGGTCCTCTTTTCAAGTAGCTTTTTGTTTAAGATGAGCGCACATGCCCAAATCCTTTGATTTTCACGAGTATTTCAAATCACGATTAAAAATTTTTACAACCTAATATCATCCTCCTTTCAGATACCCAAACCTCAGATTTAACTTTTTCCCTTTTAAAATATAATCTATGATGCCAGAGTCTGCTGATCTTCTATAATAGGTTTCTGCCTTATGAAAGATTTTGTTAACATAAACAGCCAGCCTGTTCAAAGGACCCACATAGAAATCAAGCTTAGTTGCATGTAACCTGTAAGACAGTAGACAGGGCAGACCACAACTATACACACACCAGTCACTATCACAGCACGAAACTACAGTCACAGAGAGATCTATGTACATGTACACACTTGTATCAAGGCCAAATATCTCTATACCAGGTAAAATGTTCCATCTTCAAAGGTACATCATCTGCATCATTTTGCAGTTGCCCACATCAATTTCTGGGAGGGGGAAAGGGGGGGGGGGGCGGTTCCAGCAACTTACAATACAATTTTGTATTGTTTTGGTATTTCCTTACTAATTTTTAATTGAAAAATCACAAATACCCTACCCGTGATTCTTATCTGGTTCATCTCTGTTTCTTTTATTTTCTATAAACTAAAAGAAATGACTTAGGCATTTGTAGAATGATGCTGATGACATTATACTTTACTCTCCTGAATCGGGGGTTTGGAGCCATTTGAGCTTATGCACTTTGACTTGCAGCTAGGAAAGAGTTTAAAGATCTCAAATTGGTGGTTATAGAAAAAAAGAACATTGGGTAAATTTTAATATTAAAGCTTGAGCTTCGCAAAATGAAAGGGTAGAGTGGGAGGGGGGTGATACGAATGTGATATGAAATTTTCTAAAAAAGGGATCTGACCCTTTAGATCCTAAAGTAAAGAGTAAGAATTTATTGTTACTGTTTCGAACTTGAACATTAAGTTCCTTATTTACCATTCTGTGAGGTTTGAGGTTTTAGGAACGGGAGAACCTGGCATAGGGAGCTGGAGTCATATCTGTTGCACAAAAGAAATTATATGAAATGTCTGTACAATTACAGCAGATGCATTTATGAAATACAAACGAAGGGAAATATAATAACCCTTGTCAGATTATCAGAGACGATGAAGTCACTAACACAAGGGTAATGTATTTCTCAACTCCACATCCACATTGCGACACACAGGAACAACCATTCTTTTTAATGCTCGGACATTTAGAATTATATACACGGTAGACTTCCACCTTAGCTCATATATATAGCACCTGAAAGGCCTGGACATAAGAGAACTATACTAAACAAGACATTTAAAATATCAAAGTATTCATTTGAATGCTGAATATTAAACCAGTATCTGAATTAATAATAAAAAATATAATATAAAGGTTAGAAATTACATATGAACATCGCCTTGTCTAACGTCCCATGTATACAACACTACTGTCTATGCTGAGTAAAGAGTCAATAATACAACTGATAAGTGAAAATATAAGGAAACATATGACATGCATATTACATTCTGTATTATTAATGAATTTAATTATATGAAAAAAGGAATTAAAAAAAAAATCTGTTGATCTGTTAACAAATAGTAAACAGGAGAAAATAAAAGGTTCTGATCTTGCCATAGCAATATCTGCAACAGGTGTACCTCAGGGATTCTTTCGTTCTCCATTCTTTCTATTTACATTTTACATTTCTCCAGCCTTATCATCCACCTTACCAAAGAGAGTGAAGCTAGATTACATTTCTAAGATCAATAAAAATTCACTAAAGCTTGGCAAAAAGCCAATTGTGATATACAAACAATGGCATTCACTACAGGTTAGCAAAGCTTGTGCACTCCAGTTGTCTCATACAACACACAATATGCTTATTTTTAAAGAAAATCTTGACTCTTTAGTGTGTAGCATTAGTCTGCTTTTCCTTTTCATAATCCAGTACACTGGCACACTTCAAATGTCGAGGACACAATAATGTTTCAGATGGTAAAAGATCATTAATCAGAGGTAACTAGCTTGAGTATTTTTTTCTGTCTGCCCTAAAAGCAAAAATCACAATCAAAATAATGTTCAGAATAAATGCCAAACTCTAGTCAACATTCTAAATTACTACATGTATATGTAACATATACTATACATACTTTGACTGTAACCACAGTTTCATCAAAACTTAAAATAATTTCAGTGGGTAAATACTTTTCAAATCAAAAGAAGTGCTTTCAAGCAGCTATAATATAATCGCAATTGTTTCGATCTCCCTTCAGCAAAATGTTGATAACTTAGGTGTTTGGCTGCTTCAGCCCTGCCAGTTACGGCTATCAGGAGGTGTGTCGGATATATGTGATGGACCGTGGTGGAATCAGGCTCTCGTCAATTTTTGGGCATGTAGAGTTATTGGTATCATCTTAAAGCTTGTTCACTTGTATTTATTTGGATAAAAAAATATCCATTTGTCTTGAATACAAGTCGAGTTATTTGCGAAAGGAGGAGGTGGGGGTCACCTGTTTTCAGAGGTAAAATTAGTGAGAAAATGGCCGTCAAAGATTAGTTATTTCCTTAGCTTAAGAGTCCGTGGTAACTGAAAATTTACATTTCTTGTGCCTTTAATCAACGTTTTTCAGAAAAATCCACTCAGAAATGAGTTCTTTTATGGGCTAGAAAGGTGTTGAGCCAAAAAACAAAAATTCAATACAAATTCACAAACCTGCGGAAAAATGCAAGTTTCTTCACTTTGATTATTTCGATGAGAGCCTGATTCCACCATGCTGCCTCACATATTCCATTAGAATTTAACAGCTCTCCAGCATGCATAACGCTAATATGCAGGAGCTCAGGCAAGTTTATAGTCCTATTGCTGGCTCTGGGAAATGTGCGCCCTTCTCTCTAGGGTGTGAAATCTTCCATCTTTAACTTATACAATAAGATTTCCAAAGATGAATAGCTTAAGTTGTTACACATTTTGTTATGTATTTTCACCCTGGCAGAAGGCTTGCATAACTTCATCATAACTCCCCTAATGAGGACCAGTCCACTCAGTTACCTGTCTTAGTCCCCTGGGTATGACATACAGCAAGGCAGCCAGCTAAGCACATATAACTATTATTCACATATTTCATCTTAGCTCAAGGCTAAGTACCAGTTTACAGCCAAGTGAATTGAAAAAAATAGGATAGGGTGTTTTTTCTAAGGATGTAGTACCATATCCAGCTCAGTTAGAAATTGCACCCACGACTTTTCAACTGTGAGTCAGATGTCTTTATGCTAGACATGGACACAAAGCAAGTAGAAGGCAGACTGGTAACTGGAAAAAAAGCTTCTTGAACGATCTTTTATCAAGCAATTTATCTGTGAAAGGTACTGAAGGTGCAGGGGAAGTATCAAAAGTGTCTACAGGACATGAGGACAACAAGGAAAAAATATTTGTAAAAAAAGGTTTAGAAAAACTTCAACTTTGTCAGCCTGAGAGGTCATATAAACATGAAAGCATGAACATTAGCATCAAGTGTCAGAGCAAGCAAAATCCACAAAAAGAACAAAGCAAAAAAAAAAACCCCCACCAAAAAACAGAGACAAATAAGAACTTAAAAAGAAGATCAATTCCACTTCAACAAGTAAAGAACCATTTACACGGTAAACAAATCTTTACAGAAATGCGAAAGCACCCAATTTAGCACAACGAAGCACTTGATTTACAATTACACTTTCAATTTTTCCTTTCTCTGTCAGTCTTAATGTGTCAAAGGAGTGGCCATGATCAGCATTCAGTAACTCACTCCTCAGCTTGCTCCAAAAAACAGGCTCAAAGTGGACTCGTATGAAGGAAGACTAATGACGTAGATGATGCTTGTCAAGGCCGTTGTCATGACGATGAGATAGCATCAGGGTTGGACAAAGACTCCATAACGAGCTCATGGCAGAAGCGGTACTGCTCCTGTGAAAGAAAACAAGAAAGGTCCATTCACGAATTTCCCTCTCTACTGACATGATAATATCATGTTAAGCAGCATGACTGTTAAGTCGCAAACATTTATAAGTTTACACATGCACGCACACACACACACACACACAGACAGACACAGACACACACACACACACACACACACACACACACACACACAAACACATACATACACACACATACACACACATTACTAGATGAGTGAGGGTGTTTAGTTTGTGTGCGTGCATGTGAGAGAGAGAGAGAGAGAGAGAGAGAGAGAGAGAGGTAAAAAGAAATAGACAGAGAGTCAGACAGAAAGAAAGAGGGAGAGATGAACTTTTGACTATGAAATGTGCTACACTTCCTTGTTTTGATAAAGAGACAGTAGTTAATATGATCGTCAATACAATATAAACTACAGAAATATTGGTAAAGGAAATTGTCTATTCGGTAATATTGGCATCAATAAGTTTTGAAGAGTGTTGTTTATTAATGTCCTTGTGTTAAATTTGCGTAAATCTATGATAAGCATATAATTATATAATATTCATGATAGTCCTAGCATGATTTTGACAAGGAAAAAGAAAGAGAGAAGAGATGAAACTATATTTGCATTTTACCATGTTGTCAATCAGTTGAGTCCTGTTTAGTCGGAGTTGTTTGACAGCCTGGAAAACGTCGACTTCCTTCTCCTTCTGCACACGCTCAAGGATGGTCAGGGCCGCACAGAACAATCCACTGCGACTGGCGCCGTTCCTGTACGAGTAAGGTTGGAAAAAAAAATGTGTAGAAAATCGAGAAAATATGAAAGAAATATAAACCTGAATTAATTTTTCATGGTAAAATTCAGGAAACAGTGGCTTGTACACATTAGTACACACACACACACACACTTACACACACTTACACACACACACACACACACACACACACACACACACACACACACACACACACACACACACACACACACACACACACACACACACTCTCTCTCAAAATGCCCCCAACCATTTCCTTTCTTTTCCTTGATCTGAGGAGATTAGTAAGCTGGAACCATTCCTTTCACTGTTAACACAATATCATACCTTACAAAAGACTCCAGGGAAATAAACCTAAAACTAGTCAAAAGTGGGTGCAGAAAACTTACATGCAATGCACTGTGATTGGTCCGTCTTGCGTCTGCAGCCAAGTGTTGACCATATCGACAAGCTCCAGCAAAGCCCTCTGGGAACTGGGTGTGGCTGAACCTTCTTGCCAGCGGTGGAAGTGGAACTGGCGGACCTGTCTAGCGGCATTGCCGGGCTGAGAGGAAGAATACCGTTATTTAAAGTTGTTTTTGAGGTGTTTTAGGAAAAAAGTGCTTTCATGGGCTTCCTGCATTACCATGGGAAGGACTCCGTAACAAGCGACCACCATACCAAGAACAATAAAGAAGAAACCTTACCCTATAGCTAACCCTACCTAACCCTAGCCCAAACCCTAACAAAACCCTAACCCTAACCCCAACACTTTGCCTTGACCCTAAACCTATCTATTTCATAAAAGTTGCTCGTTTCGGAATTCCTCCCTTGTCAAAAGTTGATTTTGAGTTATAGGCCTCCTAGTTTGGAGAAATGTACTTCAATAGTTCTAAAAATAATTTTTAGAAAAAAACATTTCCACAGGTTTTCCCCATCATCAAAGTTTGCTTTTTAGCAGTAATGGTTAGAACAATTCTGCATTCATACGTATAACGTGTCATCAAAAGTTGATTTTGAGCACGCAGAAAAAAAATGTGTTTTCATAGGTTGACTTTATTATAATATTTTTATTTTTAGTTGTTTTGGTTGGGAAAAATGTGGTCAACCTGACTGTGCCAGCAAAGTTTTACCTTAAGCTATAATGAATAGGAGAAACGCATTTTGATAGGTTGAATGCGTAGTTAAAGGCTACTTTTGAGTAAGTGGATCTAGAGAAGAATAAGGCCAACACTTTGACTTTAACTACAAGGAAACAAGTATCAAAAGTGCCCTAAAATTCCGACCAGAGGGAATTTTCAATACATGGTGGCATCACCACAAAAATGTTATGGCTTCAGGTATAATGAGAGTGCCGGGGATGTATAATATAATATTCATAGGCAATATATATCATCACCATATGTCAAAGTAGGCCTACCATTTTGCACAAAAGATTCATTATAACCCAATCTTCTCTACCTGCATCTCAGGAGTTCCTGACAAGAAGCTAAAGGGGTTGTCATAAAAGGGATTATTCATGTTGCAACAGTAAGGATTGGATCGAATAGGTGACAAAAGGTAAATATCCCTATATGTTGCAAAAGTAAGGATTGGGTTAAGTAAAGTTACATCACCAAAAATTATATCTATTTGTGTGGATGCTAAAATATTTTCAGCAAGAATCTACCCAGAAAGTTGCCATAAGCAAGATTCTTATACAAATAATGATACCTTGTTACATACTACGTCATGGATTCTAAATCCTTATAAAGTCATATAACAGCTTTAAGAGGCTTAATACTGGAAGTCACCATTTGTGAAGGGTGCTGACAAAATGAGTTGCTTCTCGGATTTGAGCCCTGTGGAAATAGATACATCACGTTTATAGGTTAAGCTTTTGCAAGTTATAAGTTTGAAATAACAAAAGGCTTGTTATACTTAAAGAATGTTGCATCAAAATAAAATCGATTAATTTCACCCTAGGGTTGATTTTTGGCCAATATTTCCATTTGTGGGTTGGGAAAAGTAACTCATTTTGTCAGCATGCCTCACATTTGTTTATGAGCATCTTGTCTGCAATGTTATAGGTCTTCACTATGGGTGGCTGTCTTGGACAATTTTGACAGTACCATGATCCCTGAAGGCTACTCACCACTTGTGTGTTAGTTACTGTGAAATCTCTCACTGTGACGATGGGGTTGGACTTGATCTCAGACGTGGTCTCCACCTGAAAAGGGCCGTACTCTGCACCGTCCGGCTCCTCGCTCCAATACTGCTCACAAGTCTGGGGATGGGTGGCCTTTGAAAGGTGTGCGGAGAGAGAGAGACAGAAAGACTGTCTTCGACTGCTCTTCAACTGTTCATGTGTAATTTTTTGATTGAAGCTGTGACTGTTGTTGTAGTTGTTGTTGTTGTAGTTGTTGTTGTTGTAGTTGTTGTTGTTGCTGTTGTTGTTGTTACTATTGTTCTTATTTTTGTCTCTGTAGGTGTTGTATTTCATTGGGTTTTCCCGTATTGTTGTCTTTTTATGCTGTTGTTTTTTTGTTGTTTTTGCTGTTGCTGTTCTGACCTCTCCTCCTCCTCCTCCTCCTCCTCTTTCTCCTTGTCCACGGACCGCCCATACCAAGGAAAGCAACTGCATGCCCCTTTTTAAAATAAAATTATTAACCCGAGTTGTCTCCCCTATCTCACAAATGCCTCTCCAGAAATCCTTCATTGTTTTGATTTATTCATTTATTGTTTTTTGACTGACAAAGAGATAGATGGAAGGACAGATTGATGGATGGATGAATAGATTAATAGGTTAATAAATAGACGGACGAAGAGACAGACAGAGAGACAGACACAGCGACACACAGACAAACAAACAGACAAATAGCAACAAAACAACGGTAGGCATAACAGACTTATACTCCACTGATCTTCCCCACATTGCCCACCCCCTTCCACTTACATCATCATTGGTCTCCACCTCGTTGAGCATGACGATACAGTAAGAGCCGTGGTCGTAGACGAGACGCCAGAAGTCTACCACTGTGTTGGGCAGGGGCATCTGAGTCACCAGGAGCTGGTCCTTCTGGCAGTAGCTCTGAACAGGAACATGGAACAATCATACACATGCTGATAGTACATAAAATAAGTAATAATACTAATAACAATAATAATAATAACAAAAATAATAACAACAATAATATTATTATTATTATTATTATTATTAATAATAATAATAATAATAATAACAACAGTCTGATAATAATAATAATAATAATAATAATAATAATAATAATAATAATAATAATAATAATAATAATAATGATAATAATAATAAAGATGATAATAATAGTAATAATAATAATAATAACAATAATTAAAAAAATATATTTAAAAAAAATAATAATAAAAAAAAAATTAAAAAAATATTAATGATAATAATAACAATAACAATAATAATAACAGATAGCATTTGTATAGTCAAATCTCTGCTCAGCAGCAAGCTCTATGCGCTTTTCAATCTCTACTTCTCAGGAAGTTGAGGGTGTTTCAGAATGCTGTCAATGTTCTGGGTAATAGTGTAGATTGTAAAGCGCATAGAGCTTGCTGTTTAGCGGGAATTTGCGCTGTATAAATGCTATGTTATTATTTTATGTCATGAGAGTTAGCATAGATAACGTATAACAAGATAAAATAGTGAATGTTGTGAAGATGAAAAACTATAACATAGTGTTCAATATAGATAGAATAAGGAAAGATATTAAGATATTATGTTACATGGTTGATATTGATGACACAACTGGCGAGATATTTATTACTCCATGCGATAAGAAGGAGCACAATAAATACATATGGTACGTAAACATAATGAAATAGATGAGATAACGTAAAATAATACTGAATAGATACCAAAGATAAAGATAATGAAATAAGATAAATAATTAAGAGAACATAAGGCATACAAGCTTATAGGGGGTGCCCACTACAGCTGCTGGATTGGGCCGATCACCCGACTCGATCGCCTGAAACTGAAAACAAACACGTTTGTTTTTGAGGCGATCGAGTCGGGCGATCGGCCCGATCAGCCGATCCCATCCGTAGTGGGCACCCCGTATTAGATCGATAATGTATTATGAACTACTATGGATACTGAATACAGATTGTGTGGCCTATATTCATTCTACATTACTTTGTTTTACCTCACTTACTGATATTAATTTGTGCTTGACAATGTAGGAAAAGTAACTGCTAGAAGTTGTGTTGTTTTAATAATATAGTGCGAAGCAAGAAGTTGTACAGTACATATAATTAATATATTACCATATGAGAGGCAGCGTGGTGGAATCAGGCTCTCGTCAATATTTGGGCATGTAGAGTTTTTGGTGTCATCTTAAAGCATATTCACTTGTCTTTATTTGGATGAAAAAAATATCCATTAATCTTGAATAAAAGTCGAGATATTTGCAAATGAAGGAGGTGGGGGTCACTTGTTTTCAGAGATAAAATTAGTAAGAAAATGACCGCCAAAGATTAGTTATTTCCTTAGCTTAACAGTCCGTGGTAACTGAAAATTTACATTTTTTGTGCCTTTAATCAACTTTTTTTCTTCAGGAAAATCCACACAGAAATGAGTTCTTTAATGGGCAGAAAGGTGTTGAGCCAAAAACCATAAATTGGATAAAAATTCACAAACCTACGGAAAAATGAAAGTTTCTTCACTTTGATTATTTTGACGAGAGCCTGATTCCACCACGCTGCCTCACATATCGTCCAGTTCACTATCCGCGTATGGAACATAATTTGAAAACTCCTGTTTTATGGCATTTGACCTGATGACAATCTTTAAAAAACAACTCCCACTTTTTACTTTGCATCAATAACTCAAGACAATTGTGAGGCAGCGTGGTGGATCAGGCTCTCGTCAATTTTGGGGCATGTAGAGTTATTGGTATAATCTTAAAGGTTGTTCACTTGTGTTTATTTGGATGAAAAAAACAACAACATTTATCTTGAATTCAAGTCAAGATATTTGCAAATGAAGGAGGTGGGGGTCATCTGTTTTCAGAAGTAAAATTAGTGAGAAAATGGCCGCCAAAGATTAGTTATTTCCTTAGCTTAAGAGTCCGTTGTAACTGAAAATTTACTTTTTTTTGGCGCCTTTAATCAACGTTTTCAGAAAAATTCACACAGAAATGGGTCCTTTAATGGGCATAAAAGGTGTT